CAGGCTAAATTGTGAGGCAGTCTAAAGAAATGTTAGCAAACTGTACAGATAACTGCCTTATCTGTTGAGCTCCGATTTATGTGAAATAAAAAAAAATAATCAACCTATGTTCAATGAACTTGATTCAGTGTCTTAAAGTTTCAGCAACTCTTCTGTAGATTCTTGAGAAAACCAGAGGAAAACTGGGATTCTTACAAAAGAAATAGCTGCCACAAAAGTGAGGGGAAAAGTTGGGATTAGCTCTTTGAGATTACAGAAAAGGTTAGTCTTTTTATTGGCCCAAGGAAAAGGGTGAAAGTTTAGCTGAACAGTATTTTATCTGAATTGGTTCTCTCAACCCAGCTATAAATCAAAGCTTGAATAGTGTACTAGTGAGTATGAAATACTGAGATATAAATCACAACTTGAACACTGTACCTGTGAGTATAAAACACTTGATGTTGTACAAGTCAAGGCTCAAAAACTGTCTGTATGAAAAGCTTGGAGAGATAAATGGTTGCACTTGAACACTGACTGGAATATAAACCAGGGTTATACGTCTCATTTCAACATTAGTTCTTGAACACATGTGTACATCAATTGCCAACTCAAAATGAAATACTCCACTCTCATACCTGCCTGCTGAGATGGCAAACACTTCAAAACTTATTTCCTGTATGCAGTCTCCTTACAAATGAATTTCTGGTGTGTATTGTACTTCATAGGAAAGAAAGGAATATTCTTTTGATACTAGAAGGAGCTTGTATATTTTGGCATCAAATATAATGAGCATTTCTCCCACCATTAAAAAATATATTGAACTGAAGGAAGGCAGCTGCTTTTTGTCTACTTGAAAGGTGACATGTTTTCAGGTGGGGAATATGTTGACCTAAGCTTTCTTGACAATGTATTTTGAAGAAGGATTGTTTCTTGTTTGCCAGTCATTTACTTTGGCTAATGTTGATTTTTTTTAACTTGCCTTTCTGTAGGGGGCATTGTTTGCCTACTCTGCTGGAGAATACTGATCAGGGATTTTGTTTTGGGGTCCCTCTTATTCCTATAAAGGAAGGCAACTGCTTGTAAGGACCCCATATCAATTCAGCACATCATTGTAAATTCTGGATGGAAACTGAGTAATATATGGGGGTCATGGAAGAAATATAAACATCTCTTAATGACTCTGAGCCTGATTCATGGCCTCATGATCCAGGCATTGTTGAAGTTGTCAGTTTCTTTCAGGTGCTGGAAGAGTCAGTAGATGAGGTATAGAATCATAGAATCACAGAATCATTAGGGTTGGAAAGGACCTTAAGATCATCTAGTTCCAACCCCTCTGCCCTGGGCAGGGACACCTTACGCTAAATCGTATCACCCAAGGCCTCGTCCAACCTGGTCTTGAACACTGCCAGGGATGGAGCATTCACAACCTCCCTGGGCAACCTATTCCAGTGCCTCACCACCCTGACACGAAAGAATTTCCTTCTTATATCCAATCTAAACTTCCCCTGTTTAAGTTTTAACCCCTTACCCCTTGTCCTGTCACTACAGTCTCTAATGAAGAGTCCCTCCCCAGCATCCCTATAGGCCCCCTTCAGATACTGGAAGGCTGCTATGAGGTCTCCATGCAGCCTTCTCTTCTCCAGGCTGAACAGCCCCAACTTTCTCAGCCTGTCTTCATACAGGAGGTGCTCCAGTCCCCCGATCATCCTCGTGGCCCTTCTCTGGACTTGTTCCAACAGTTCCATGTCCTTTTTATGTTGAGGACACCAGAACTGCACACAATACTCCAGGTGAGGTCTCACAAGAGCAGAGGGGCAGGATCACCTCCTTCTACCTGCTGGTCACGTTCCTTTTGATGCAGCCCAGGATACAGTTGGCTTTTTGGGCTGCAAACGCACACTGAAGCCAGCTCATGTTCATTTTCTCATCAACCAACACCCCCAAGTCCTTCTCCGCAGGGCTGCTCTGAATCTCTTCTCTGCCCAACCTGTAGCTGTGCCTGGGATTGCTCTGACCCAGGTGTAGGACCTTGCACTTGGCATGGTTAAACTTCATGAGGTTGGCATCAGCCCACCTCACAAGCATGTCAAGGTCCCTCTGGATGGCATTCCTTCCCTCCAGCTTATCAACCGAACCACACAGCTTGGTGTCATCGGCAAACTTGCTGAGGGTGCACTCAATCCCACTGTCCATGTCAGTGACAAACATGTTGAACAAGACCGGTCCCAACTCCGGTCCCTGAGGGACGTCACTCGTTACTGGTCTCCAGCCGGACATTGAGCCATTGACCACAACTCTTTGTGTGCGGCCATGCAGCCAGTTCTTTGTCCACCGAGTGGTCTATCCATCAAATTGATGTTGCTCCAATTTAGAGACAAGGATGTTGTGTGGGACAGTGTTGAACGCTTTACACAAGTCCAGGTAGATGACATCAACTGCTCTACCCCTGTCCATCAGTTCCGTAGCCCCATCATAGAAGGCCATCAAATTGGTCAGGCAGGATTTCCCCTTAGTGAAGCCATGCTGGCTGTCACCAAGCACCTTGTTGTTTTTCATGTGCCTTAGCATGCCTTCCAGGAGAATCTGCTCCAAGATTTTGCCAGGCACAGAGGTGACACTGACTGGTCTGTAATTCCCCGGGTCATCCATTTTCCCCTTCTTGAAAATGGGGGTTACATTTCCCTTTTTCCAGTCATCGGGAACTTCACCTGACTGCCATGATTTCTCAACTATGATGGCCAGCGGCTTCGCAACTTCATTTGCCAGCTCCTTCAGGACCCATGGATGGATCTCATCAGGACCCATGGACTTGTGCACATTCAGATTTTTAAGATGGTCTCGAACCAGTTCCTCTCCTACAGTGGGCGCAAGGTCTTCATTCTCACAGTCTCTGCATCTGCCTTTCAAGACTTGGGTGGTTTGGTCAGAGCTTTTGCCAGTGAAGACGGAGGCAAAGAAGTCATTCAGAACCTCAGCCTTCTCCAAATCCTGTGTAGCCAGTTCTCCTGAGAGCTTCCTGAGGGGGCTTACGTTGTCCCTAGTCTGTTTTTTATTTGCTATGTACCTGTAGAATCCCTTCCTGTTTATCTTTAATACCTCTAGCTAAGTTTAATTCTAACTGGGCCTTAGCTTTCCTAACCTGGTCCCTAGCTTCTCGGACAACGTCCCTGTACTCTTCCCATGCCACCTGTCCTTGCTTCCACTTACTATAAGCCTCTTTTTTCAATTGAATTTTCCTCAGGAGCTCCTTATCCATCCAAGGAGGTCTCCTGGCCCTCCTGCTGCACTTCCTTCTGGTTGGGATGCAACACTCCTGAGCTAGCAGCAGGTGATCCTTGAATATCAACCAACAGTCTTGGGCCCCTCTGCCCTCTAGGGCTGTATCCCATGGAACCTTCCGAAGCAGGTTCCTGAAGAGGCCAAAGTCTGCTCTTTTGAAGTCCAGGGCAGTGAGCCTGCTGCACGCTCTTCTCACTGTCCTGAGGATCTCAAATTCGAGCATCTCATGATCGCTGCATCCAAGGCTGCCCTGGAGCATCACATTTCCAACGAGCCCTTCCCTGTTGGTGAGCACGAGATCAAGCATGGCACCTCTCATTGTCGGCTCCTCTATTACTTGCAGAAGGAAGTGTCTTCTACACAATCGAGGAACCTCCTGGATTGCTTGTGCCGGGCCGTACCGTCCTTCCAACAGACGTCAGGGTGGTTGAAGTCACCCATGAGAACAAGGGCCTGCGAGCGTGAGGCTTTTCCTATCTGTCTATGGAGTGCTTCATCCACAGGTTCTCCTTGATCAGGCGGTCTGTAACAGATCCCCACAGTAATGTCCCCCATAGCTACATTCCCTTTAACCCTGACCCACAAACTCTCTGTGGACTGCTCACCTGTTCCCAGACAGAGTTCCATACTCTCCAGCCTATCCCTAACATAAAGGGCAACTCCCCCTTCCCGCCTGCCGGGCCTGTCTTTTCTAAAGAGCCTGTAACCTTCCGTTCTAACACTCCAGTCGTAGGAGCCATCCCACCATGTTTCTGTGATGCCTATTATATCATACCCCCGTAGACGTGCACACGTCTCTAATTCCTCTTATTTGTTCCCCATGCTACAGGTGCTTGTATAGAGGCATCTGAGCCGAGCTCCAACTGCAGCCGACTTATTGGCTGGAGTGGCTGGGATATCTTTACATTGCTCCAAATGTATTGTAATTTGTTTTAATTCATTATTTCTTCCTTTTCTATAAACGGCCCTAGTTTGCTAAGGAAGGCTTGTGTGATCACGTAGTGATTTAGGAAAAATACTACAGAAAAGATGAAATACCTGTACTGGCAATCTTCCTGAAAACTTCCTGTATGTTATTAAAACTGTGTTTACTTCCATATTGCTGGAAGATATGTCATGGCAAAGTTTTATTAGCTCCTCTCAACATTTTGTTAGTAAGCCAAAGATGTTTGCCATCTCTCTGGTACAAACAAGAGTGAGATTTACTGTGGTGTGCCATCTGTGCAAGGTAGGAGGCATCAACTTATTTTGTTGAATTACACTGCAACTTTGTGTTGCAGAGCTGCATAACAGTCTTTGTTCTGAAGAGTTGTAGTTTGAACAAGATAAGTAAGTCAGGGTAAGTGTTCTTTGTTTAGGTGCCTAATTTTTTTGCTATAGAGAATAATTGTTACAGTACGAAAATCAGGGAAGCCTAAAAGAAATTACTAAGTAGCAGTGTGAAAATCACAGTACCTCTCCATCCATGCATAATTACGTTTCTTACTGTACCTCTTCTCAGTCTTCTAAAAAGGATAAGTACTTTTCTGAAAGAGAAAAGTTTAATCTTTCCTATAAGTGCAGAATGGAAATTTTGGGGTTAATTGGCAATTTCAGATGATCTCATTGGTTAAGAGTGTACAGTTTTGTAATTGCTACACTGAGCCCTTTATAGTAGGTAACTTCATGTGGTTTTTTTTATCCTTTCCTGTTGCATGTTCTAATTTCTGGATATCCTAAACTTTTCTGTTTACATAATCTTTCTCAGATCTGGGCTGAATTTCAAGCAGGAGAAAAATGTACATGCAGATCCTTTCTTGCAGTAAGGCTGCCAAGCTTATGTCATTGGTGTGAAGTCATTCTGACATTGAAAGGTATCTGAAGAGCATGACTGCAGTGCTTCTGCTACCTTTCTCCTTCCCTTTTGCTTCTGCTCATGTGACTAATACTAGGGGTATGTTAAGACTACATAAAAAGTTTCTGTGCATCCTGATCACCTGGGCTCTAAAAGCTGTTAGCAACCGTCCTGAAGCAAAGAAACCATGTATTCAGGCCAGCTGGAATAAACCTAGTATTTTTGCAACTGCGATTAAACAACATTTGTGCTGAAGTGTGGCATCACAGTTTAGGAGTCATCCTAGCAAATGTAGGAGTCATCCAGGAAAGATGAGATAATTGTATATGCTGTAAGTAATGCAGAATTAAGAAAAGCCCCAAAACTCATAAATGTAGAAACAGTTGTTGTTGAGACATAAAACTTCACAGACTGAAATATCTTAATGGACCATTCATCATGACTTCAAATGTGTATTTTCTTGAAGTATTGAATCCACAAATTGCTTGGCTCTGCCAATGGGTTTGTAAATATGCATTAATGACAGGATTGTGGATTGTAAGTTCTGCTCAGTTCCTACTGAGTATGTGATGTGTCCTCTGCTGTGAAAACTGAAGTGACAGCTTTGAGAATTTGAGTGACAGCATCCAAATGTTGCCCTGGAACCCAGTGAACGCTCTGGACTTCCTTTTTCACAATAGGAGGAAGCATCTTTCAAAGACCAAATGAGCTCAGAGGCAATTAATGACCAAAATGGAAGTTTAGATTAAGTGGAGTTCTAAGGAAAGAACTCATGTGATGGCTGAGTAAAGGAGGGAAGTCTCTTCAAGGTTTAAGAGATCAGTGTGTACATTTGTGGTAAGTATCACCCTGGAGATGCTAGACTCTTATTGTGGACATCACAGAGCAACAAACAATAGATTTCTTTTTAAAAGGAGGAAAAAGGGCTCAGTTTCAAGTGGTTGCTCTTATTTGAAAAAGGTAGCTTGGAGAAGTGCTTGTACTGTACCTTTCCCACAGAGGTGTCATTTTAGAAGCAGTACTGTGTCACAAATCTCAGGAAGACAGGCTTGGAGGTAAGAAGAAAAGAACACTGTTTATTCTTAGATTGCTCAGAGTTGGAATTTTTCTGGTGTTTTTTAAAGTTCAATCCTCACCTAGAATTTCTGCCTGAAGAAGGCTGACCTCCTGCTGGTAATCTTTTTTTGCTTGTCTGGGTTTTTACTTTCCTGGTCAGTATTTTACCAGAGAATTAGCTAGCGTTCATGCACACAAGTTACAGCTGGCTCCAAATATAAATGCAGGGTGGGTGTTCTTTCCTTTTGAATTTCTGAATAGATCTCTTCTCTGCTCCCCCCAGGCTTTTACAGTGTCTAAATTGGAGTTAGCTTACTAAGAATCTATGCTAATGTCATCTTGTATCATGGACTCAAGCGTATTTATGCTGTATTGGTTAATTCAGATTAACTCAACTATTCTGGCTATTGGTATTCACAACTAGGAAAATCACATTTAGCTGGCACATTGCAGTTCTATTAGTGCAACTATTGAAGCATGAAATAAGTCCCCCAGCCCCAGTTAAAATTGAAACAGCAAGAAAGACCGCAGAATCAGTTTGTTTTCAGTACAGCTTTACCAAATATGCAAAGGCATCACTGGCTTTACCAACCTTATCCCTCCTTTTATGTGGTTGTTAATCTGAGTTAGGTAACTATGCAGCACCATTGATAAAGCTGTCTGAATGCTTCGGGGAAGTAAGGTAGGATTGTAACTGCATTTTACTTATACATCATCCTAACAGTTGAAGAATAATGAACTTCACTGAGAATCTAGTTTCTAAATCTGAAGCACATTTTATGTGGAGTCCTTAAATGCCCATCATCAGAGTACCAATGCACGGGTCAGATGCATCGTAAGAGCTTACAAGTCTATTAAGATTGAGTATTTTTTAGGTAAATGAATCTTTTAACACACTGTTCATTATCACTTGTGGTCAGAAAATGGGTGAGCTGAATCTCCCATTATTGTGAAAATATTTGATATACTCAGTAAGAGGAAACTGAATACCTTCTATTGCTTTTGCTGTTTTAAATGTGTCAAGGGGCTCTAGGTCTAGTGGGTGTATCTACCTTATGTGATACAACATTTTCAGGGTGCCTGGAAGTTCCTGGATGTTACATAGCTGCATACTGTTCTACAACTGCATTACTACTGTATCTTTTCTAACATGCAGCTGGAGCTGGGTTGGGTATCTTTGCAGTGGTACTGAGAAATACCTCATATTGAAGTACTAACCCGTGCTGAGGGCCAACACCTGAAGTTCATTCCATCTTTCCATGTGACAGCCCCTGTGAAGCATAATACTGTGTATTTAGCCCGGCTTCTTCTCACAGGGAATTATGAAAGAGTTATTCTTGAGCTTTGTGCTGCAGCAGGTCACTTCAGGAACATTGAGTGCCTGGTCCTGACCTCAGAGAGAGAAACTTGTACCTTTGTTACACACTGGAGCTGCTGTTCTCTTTTTTTCCCTTAAATGTGGCTTGCTTCCTTGGGAAGCCTCACACAACTGTTCTAGTTAGTGAGCAGTGACCTGAGCAAAGCTTAATTAACTGTTCTGTACAGGCATAGGGTCTTTTAGGTAAGAAACTCTTTTAGGATTGGGATCTATTTTTCAGATTGAATGGTATGAGTTGAATATTCTACTGCTTTTATTCTTCAGCCTGTTAACTCTGCTGAAAGTGCATGCTATGTTAAATTAAGAGCAATTTAGCTTTACTCTTGCCTTTTTCCTCAGCTAGAAAAAGACTGATTATCTGACTTTGGTAAATGAAATTCACATACACTTCAGGACAAGTTTTGCATGTGTCTGTATGCCTGTGTCTTCATGTAAAGATAGGTGTGCATGCTACTGAAGACAAAATGTTTTCTCTGGGACCTGAGCTTTATAGTTTATGAAGTCAACATTCATGTGAGTGTGCAAAGAGCTACAGGAGATATTTTGCTACATGGAAACATAAGTTTCTTTTTACAGTAATGGACGATGGAAACCAGCAAATTCCAAGGGTCAAATAATATGCAATACAATGTAAACGGCATATAATTTCAACTAAAAATGAGTTGCCTGTAGGGAGTGCTGAGGCAAATAGAATCTGGCCATGTGAGATGAACATTGTGATGCTTCTGTTAATGCAGGCGGACCTTGCAAGGAGGAGAATGAAGCTGTATGCATTCCATTTAAATATTTTTGTTCAAAATTCCAAGTAAGCTAGTTTGCATCTGCATGGAAATCATTCTGTCTTTTGTTTCTGTGCAACAGCTTTGCTCAGAGTCAAAGAGGGGAAAAGTGCTTTAAAACCAGGGGGAAGCTACCACCCTAGGTTTCTTGTGCAGGCGTGCCTTTTTGCCTTTGGGTACTGCTCTGGGCATGGCTTTAGGGAGGGGCTGCTAGCATCCAAATTCTTCAGTTCTTCCCAACAAGAAATGCCAGGGCGGTCAGGCAGGCAGAGGGTTCAACCCAGTTGTCTGTACCCAACTGTACTTAGAGGTAATAAGAACATGGGATAGGCAAGTTGAAAATCTCATAGCTAAGTTAAACAGCTCTAGGGAGTGGGCTGAAAAGCTTTAGAGAGTAAAATTGGGAGAGGGTGGAAGCACGGAAACTAGTGGCTCTGGAACAATATAGTGTTGGTGCTCAGGGGCAGTTAAGGAGCATGAAGACAACAGAGTTGGGGAACTCCTTCTCCCCTGACAAGAGCTGTGATGTGAACAGACATGCAGATCTGCCCTATGTACTTTCCCAAGCAGTGGGACTGCTGTTCCTTTCCTTCCTACTGACATTTTTTTTTTCTTCAGGCTTTATTTATGTATCGAAGTATGTATTTTTTTTGCTGTGCTGTGACACTACAGTACTCTAAAGCCTCTCTAAATTGTCAGTTTCTTATGAAAGGGGGAAAGACATAAGTGCTATACAGAACTTAAGTAGACTGGGATGCTTCTGGAACTATCTTTCACATCTCTGAGCAGATGTGTTCTCTACGTGTCTTTTCTTACAGTTTATGCCTAAATGAGAAACACAGCAGGCTGATCATACATACCTTGTTTTGCTGGCTGTTACACTGTATCACTACAAGGTGAGATAGAAACAAATAACAACCTCATGACTGATTTTTCTTGCTCTTTTCTTTGTTAGAAGGATTTAATTTAAAACACTGCATTGAAGGCTTCCCCCCCCCCCTTTAATTCTTTACCTTGATGTATTGCAGTCAGCAACACATGGAATAAAGTAAATTGAGAGAAAATGAGAAGATCCAATTGACTTCTCAGATATAGGACTAAATCCAGCTTGCATTTAACTATTCCTCTGATAATAAAACAGCCACTATTGTTTTTCTTTTAATGTTTTGGAGTGGAGTTGGCTTTATTAAGCTATTTCAGGCAAAATCCAGTCTCCACTACTCCATTTACCTTGGAGAGTTGACTAATCACTGGGGCATTTGTGCTACCATATGGCAAAGGAAAAGCTATAAGCTGATTACTGAGAGTGCAGAAAATTAATGTTTTTAAGTTCTGAGCAGAGAGATAAGGGTTTCCTGAAGATATGCTGAGATGTGATGTTCTTTCTCGGCCTTATCAAATTGTTGCTGAAGCTGCCCCTTCTGTACTGAACTATGGTGTAATCCTGTTCTGCTATGAAAGATCTGAGCTATTGATTGGGTTGTTTTTCCTGTAACATATAGCTGTTACTGCCACTGAAAATTCAGCTGGTTACAGGTTGATAGGCCTTTAACAGAGCATCTTTATTACCCGTAGCAAGAGATGTCTCGGCTTTAATAGCTTCCATACAAAAGCTGTGTAAGTTAATGGTTTAGCTGTGTAAGTTGCAGTGCAATGAGGTCTTGGGCAAGTGCTATTTTTTGCTGGTCTAGAAGGCTCAGCTAAGACAATGTAAGTGTTCTGAGAAGGTGTGGTGGTTACACAATATTTGCAGTCAAAATGGCTGAGGGAGAGAGGAAAGAAGTGAAGTGATGCACTCAAACACAGATAGGTTTTGTCAACGGGAGGAGGTCATTAGTGAAATACCATTTAGACTGAAAAAGACCTTTATTGAGTGCAGCCATTAACCTAACACTGCCAAATCCACCACTACTCATCTGACTTCACACATATCTCTGGGATAATAATTGATCTAGCCTATTCCATGAAACCACTGAGTCTCAAATTGCGACAAGCTGAGAGAATGTGTAGGGAATTCTATACTATCCCAGTCACTATGTAAGTGTCTGCTGTTGGCTAATGTTGGAGCGAAGATACTTGCATGGACCTTTGGTCTGACCTTAGGCAGCAGAACTTTGTCGGTTAAACTTGATATTTATTTACCCAAGCTATAGCCAGGTTTCTGTTTACTTTTAACTCTGGGGCATGGAGTCATAGAAACAGGTTGTCAGACATCTTGGCAGATTAGTATTTTAGGACTACATCCGTGTATTTTGTCTACATGCTTTAAAAAAATCCAATACAGCTAAACTATAGTTAGTATAAGCTGTGCTTTAAGATCTATCACAATCACAACTTGAATTTCACTCTAGTAAAATTTTACCCTAGTATCCACATCAAAGCTGATGTACCATGATGGGAATTTTAGTCCCCTCTCAAAAGCTGCCCTAACAAAGTAATTTTTTCACTCAGTAATAGTTATTTTCAAGGACCTGAGAGTAATAAACACTGTAGAGGAAAAGGAATTGTTCAGGATGACCAAACAGAAAATTTTCTCTATCTACTGCCAGTGGAATTCTTTCAAGAAGTCATGCAGCCTTGTCTCAGCGGTGGAAAGTCAGTGAAGGTGCCACATATTTCTGGGT